CTGCTAGAAATTTATACGCATACGGTCGACAGCGAGATTATTTTGATAAACGGCATTGTATTGGTAAGTGTCCGCCCCTTGCTCATACCACATATCTCAAATATTTCGTATCCGACGCGTGGTTGATTAATTAACACTCCCCGTGCAGGATTCGTCCGTTTCGGTGACTCGGGACATCCTGATGGCCTCGCCGCGTCCTTAGCAATGGTCCCGCAGCCACGAAGCGCATGTATGTAGGAAAAGCGCATGCGGATAGTGTCTGGACGGAGATTTATGGCTACTGTCGCTCCAGAGTAAAGATAGATAGTCGCGGCTATGGCGTTTTTGGTGTGGTGGCACGTAACGTGAGTGTCTGGGTTCGGGAAGATGCGGCAGGCAGGGAGCGTTTTGGGAAGTTGTATGTGACTGCCTTTTTCTTTTGTTACCCCCCCTTCCCGCGTTTGAACTTCCTTTGGTTTATTTCAAGCTATTTTAATAAGTGGAGGCTAATCTCAACATTAATTAATATAATACCCAGTGATTCGGATATCTACTCATCTCTACAGGTTGACAATTGATATTCCAGTACCCATCCTCTATTTTCTTTATTTCCCCCCTTTTTTTTGCATCTCCATATGTGCCTGTAATTGTGAGCACATCTCCTTTTTCCACGCTCACTACCACCCCTTCATCCGGTGTTGTATATTGTAAATTTTAAAAGTCTTCGAATCTTGGAGTATGGGTCAAGGTTGGTTTAAAAGCTTTGACTTTATAGTCACATTTTAATGTTTGCTTCTTTCTGATTTGCCTAACTAGAATATAAGATTTTAATCTAATCCGTGTCATAATAGAATAGACAGAGACCCTTGGTATTCTTTCCTTAGCCCATCGGGGATGCTTTTCATATATTTTCAAATGTAGTAGTCTATTCGAAAGGAAAAAAGAAAAAGCTCAAAGATTTCATATTCCCAGTTTCGGGAATATAAGCTTGGGATCGTCAGTTTAAATGCCAAACAAACAACTGAGTGGGAAATATATCTATCTTGAGTAAATGGAGCCAAAAAACCCCCTATGTTTCATATGTCATTGTCATCTGCGTTCAGTGGATAAAATCCAAGTCGCAACCATCGAACCATCAGCATCATTCATTCGGAGCAGAAAAAAAGAAAAAGACATCACCCGTAACAATATGTACGCGAAAACAGCGGGCTAGCTAAATCAGTCCCCTTTTGAAAAACCACACCCATAAAAGGCGCAATAATCAACAAAACAGAGCAAGAAGAAAGTATCACATCACAAACCCGACTTTCCCGTTAGCCGCCCTTCAATCTTCTTCTTCTCCGCCTCCTGAGCAGCCCTCACCTCCTCCCTCGTCGCATCAAAAGCAACGCTAACCTGATTGAACGGGTTCTCCTCACTCTTCTCAAACTCCTTCCGCACAATCTCCAGGCGTTGTTGCCTCCGCAGGCCGGGTTGCTCCTGCTCAATCTCCGGTAACCGCCGCGCCTCGAACGCCGTATACGCGGCTTTAAACCTTCGTTCCGGATGGCGCTCGATCTTGGCTGTGCCGGGCGAGGTGGTTAGGGAGAGGGCGTCGAGCGCGTTGTCGATGCCAGAGGCGTTGAGGGCCAGGGCGGCCTTGTTGTAGCTTGTGGGTTTCTCGTTGGAAGCGTCGAGCTGGGAGAGATCGAGGGTGCCGGCGCGAGTGGTGCCGGAGCCGACGTTCTTTTTCGCGGCGGCTTTTGTACCCGCGCCTTTGGGCTTGGAGGGTAGGGATGCGTCTTCGGCTGCTAGTTGTGCGTCACGCTCGGCTTTTTTGCGGGCTGATTCTGCCTTTTTGGCTTCTGCTTGGTCTCTGTGGAGCAGTTTGTTAGCTTGGATTTTTCCTCTCATGTACAACCTTTACTGCGATTACGTCGGCTTTTGTTGGCCCTGGTGGCCAAGGTGGTAAAACGGGTTCATTCCCGAAGTACATAGGGGGGTAGTAGGAGGTAGATATCTCATACTTCTTTGCACTCGATTTTGCTCCCTTGGACCACTCGCGGGCTTCCTCTTCGGCCTTCCTGGCGTTTGCAGCAGCTTCTTTTTGTGCGGCTGCTTCGGCTTTCTACAAATTACGCACAGTCAGTCACCTCCATATTGGGTGGGGCATAAACGAGTCATTACTCTTGCATTGCCCGCCGCTTTTTTGGAGTTTTCGCCGCCCTTTTTCCCCGCCATGGCTGCGGGATATAAGTGTACTAATCCAGGTCCTAAATAGAGGGTACAAATTAGGAAAAATTGCCCTTATTGGGAAAAAAAAAAAAGTTGTGGTTTGACAGAAGTAATAATAGTTGACTATGACTTCAATATCATAGTTCAATCTTCGGCCGGAAAAATATGGTTCCAGCATTGGGATCCACAACTATGGAGAGAGTTGTTTTTATCGCAGTTAACTACCAGTAGTTACTAGTTAATTTTGCTCTTATTACCTAAATAGTAAATCCTGCATCTCCAGCCCCATGTTGTCACAGTGTGAGTGTTTTTGATAGGGGTGGCTCCAAAGAAGTGGCAGCTTCAACTGTGTCCCTTGTGGTGGTAAGAGGCGGAATCAAAGCTTTACGGGGGGAATTATTGAGCTAAAGTGGAGTAATCATCAAGGACTCAAGGAAACTCCATTGTCTAAATAAACTAAAAATCATGATCGCGATTATGTATCTTCCTTAAGAAATGCGTTTCGTCATCATCGTCAACATCATGAGCGTCGAAATGGGAAAAACAAATCACATCCCAGAGAGTATTGCTTTGGGCCCGT